AATAGAGACGTGTCTTTGTCAGCTCTTCAAATAAAAGAGTAATATAAAATGTCAAAAAATGCAAATGGTCACAGCCTTTATAAAGCAGGACAGAGATGTGGCAAACATTTCCACCTCATATGTCAGGATAGCAGTAATTTGTTGTGAATTGCAATGAACATTTGTCATTATTAGGGTCATGCTTATTCTTCATGTATTTATTTAAAGTTTTAAAATAACTGCTTTGTAAAATAAATGCCCTAAGAAATAAAACCTATCGATGGAATGGCAAAGCAAAAACTGATTATATCATTCTTGAGCAAAACAATAAAACGTAATTGAAAGCAAGAATACAGTAGCCCCAATTGCAAAACAGCTTCTCTGAAAAGCATCAGAACACTCAAGTCAGCTCAACCTTTAAGAACAGTTTTATTTTAACATCACATTATCCAGATTTTTTTTTAAAAAAAGAACATTTGAAATTGGCTGCCCTTGAAAGCCATATCAAGGCTTAGTTTAAAGGAAGAGCTCTGTGTACTTTGCCTAGAGGTTGTGGACTCATAACTACAAAGTCCCACTTGTAAGGTTTGCCATTGCTTTCATTGGTGATCATCCAAAAATGTACCTGAAGCTAGTGATGAAGCTCAGGAAGATTGGCATTAGAGAAGATGAGAGAGTCAATTATGTTATGCTATAGCACAGTGATGGTGAACCTTTTAGAGACCGAGTGCCCAAACTGCAACCCAAAACCCACTTATTTATTGCAAAGCGCCAGGGCTGCATCAGCATTGTGGTGCCCTTGGAGGGGGGGTGGCCCACTGGATGGGCATGGCTGCAGTGGTCACGGCAGACTGGGTGAGCGTGGCCGGGGCCAGTCCCTCGCCATCTCCGGGGCATCCCTGGGAGGCCAATGCCGCTTGCTCACTCACTTCCTGCCCTGTCACTTCCAAACGCCATGTTCTTGCTACTCTGGCGAACTCTGCTGGGGCAGCAGCACGCGTGCCCACAGAGAGGGCTCTGAGTGCCGCCTCTGGCACGCGTGCCATAGGTTCACCACCACTGCTATAGCAAATGCTATAGTGATTTTAGCATGCATTAAATGCAGCCCTTGGGTAAAATGCAACTTTTGTGACATATTCATGTGGCAAAGCAATAATCATTATTCATCTTGTTTAACCCTAGTATTTCTGCTCCAGCTATTAATTTTCAAGTTACCTTTAGTGTTGCTTTATTTTACTTAATGAAATAAAATGAGTAAACATTTCATATCTCTAATGCATTTATAATTTATTTGTGAAGTAGCATTTCATTATTTCATGGTGTGGGAAGTCAACCTCCCCCGCAGAGAAAGAAATATTTTGGGGAATATTAAAAGGCAGAATATTATATTTCCCCAAAGGAATAATGGAGAAGATCTTAAAAAAGACAGAAACCAGCCCCCAGAAATTAGCCCCAGCCCCTGGGCAGAGGCCAACTTTTAGAAATTCAAGTTCAATAATCCTTTCAGAAAGGTTTGAGCCTTACAGCTAGAAACTGAAGAAATTAGGAAGACAAAGACATCTAAAATCTACCAATACCAAAAGGGCACACTCAGACTCAGGTCAAAGTACATGACACAGGAAATATAAAGCCTCAAACAGGAACAGGAAAGAGCCCCAGAAGGTATAAAAATCCACTCCCTACTACATGTGGTCAGTTTTTCAGAGCCATCTTTCTGTCTGGCTCTCCTTTTCAATAAACTACAACCTTCTTTCTAAAGCAGTCTTCATTTTGTTTATTCCCAGCTTGGACTTTTCTGAAGCTACAGAAAAGAACAAGATGTCAGCCTAGATACATGAACCCAAACTTTGATTACAACTAAAGAATCAACTACACAGAATATAATAGAAGAACTGGAACAATCAAATACTATGATAGAAGATTCAACTGATCAACAAACACAGTTAATGAAAAACCCAGAAAAGGGACTGACAACACTGAAAATGAAGACTTTCTATATAAACCAGAAGAAACCTGAGGATCAAGAAGAAGAACAGATTGAAGGGAAGATAAATATTTCAGGACAACTACGTCGAGATGGAAAAACAGAGAGACGATTTGTTAGCCCTTCCCAAAAAATGGAGACTGGATGGCCTCCTTTATCTCAAATAATATATATATATAATAATAGAGGGAGATTTTTTTTGATGACTTAAAAGCACAGATATGGAAGGCGAGTTGGCAAGAAAGAAAGCTAGAATAAGGCTGAATAAAATTGGGGTTTTGATTTATTAGTTAGGATTAAAATAGAATATATTCAAATAGATAAGATGTGTACTTTGAATACTAGAATCCAGCCTCTCCTTTGTCCTCATCTGTGTGGTCCCCATTTTGCCTGCTTATCTGTTTCTTTAACAACTGTAGTATTAATGCCTTTTCAAACTCTGTCTGCAAGTTACCCCCCCCCCATTCTACTTTTCCTTTTCTTGTCCTCTGTTCTCCATGCCTTTGTCTGCCTCTCCTGGCAGAGTCACCCAGAAATGTTCTCATATCTTTCAGTCCTACACAGATGACCCCCTACAACCTTTGGAAGCAGAGCACACTGACCCAGATGCTGCCTCCATCCATTTGAGCCAGAGAATTGGGTTTGAATCTAGCCATCCTCTAGAAAGCCATCATGCAACCAGAGTGGAACAGATCTTCCCAAGTCCTACTATCCCTCCAGATACCTGTAAAAGCTGCAGAGGAAGGAAGGAGCCCTGGAGCCATTGGCCCCCACTGAAGCCTCAGAAGACAACAGGGAAAGACTATGGGGGAAGGTGGAAATTCATTGTAAGGTTTTCTTTCTTGCCTCATTTGTATTGTAATAAGCCAGTTGAATGTATTTATGGAGGGATGACATTTGGGAATGGTTGGCACAGCAAATATTGAGCACCTTGGATTTCTCTTCTGGTGGGAGGGAAAATTTGTCCAGAATGTTTGTATTGCCTGTTTTGTAGAAGTAGCTACACACACACACACACACACACACACACACACACACCATTCAGAATCACACTGAGTCTATCTCCTTCACCTACCTTCAGTAAAGTTCCAGGCTGGTTCTTGCCTTGTGGCATTAAAGCTTTGCATTCACAACTTCCTGCAAATTCCAAGGGGGAAGGAATCAGGCTGCCTCAGGCGATTTGGAATTCATATGCTCTCACTGAGGAGGTAGCAGGAAAGAGATCTCCAAAACCCAAGCCCTGAATATGTTGCACGAGTGGACTCAGAGTGGGAGTCCTAGGGCTCACTGTGTGCAATTTAAGAAAAAGAAAAAGCAACCCTTTAAAATGGGCAGACAGTGGTTATGTACTGAAGAAAAACATGGCTGTGAAGAATTTTGGAGGAATGTGCTTCAAAACCCTAACTGGAAGCTCAAAGTGACATCCAACATTTGAAAATAATTGGCACAGAATATTGGACACTATAAATTTATTTTCCATCTAACAGAACTTTTGCCCTGACTTTAGACCTTCATGGTTGAAAAGCTCCCCTTTTGGAAGTCACTGAAGGGATCTTTTTCTTCTGCTTCTATTACTATATTCCCTCTTTTTTTTTTGGCATAACAGTTTAAAAGCTTGTTTATCAAGTCTCCCTGACGAGATCAATTTTTAATCTTGTGCCAGTAAAAGTGTGTGATTCACACTCTTATGGCCCAAAGGGGGGATTGTGTCAGCCTCCCCCCCAGAGAAAGAAATATTTTTGGGACTGTTAAAAGGCAGAATATTATATTTCCTGAAAAGAATAATGGAGAAAATCTGAAAAAGACAGAAACCAGCCCCCAGAAATCTGTCCCAGCCCTGCCTAGGCAGAGGCCAGTGTTTAGAAATGCAAATTCAATAATCCTTTCAGAAAGGTTTGAGCCTTACAGCTAGAAACTGAAGAAATTAGGTAGACAAAGACACCTAAAATCTACATACTCCCACCCAAATTCTAAGGACAGGAGACATAATAGGATTAACCAATACCAAAAGGGCACTCTCAGACTCAAGTCAAAGTACATGACACAGGAAATATAAAGCCTCAAACAGGAATAGGAAACAATCTCAAGAGCCCCTGAAGGTATAAAACCCCACTCCCTACTACATGTGGTCAGTTTTTCAGAGCCATCTTTCTGTCTGGATCTCCTCTTCAATAAACTACAACCTTCTTTCTAAAGCAGTCTCCATTTTGTTTATTCCCAGCTTGGACTGGACCCTGATGAAGATTTTTTCTTCAACAATGGGGTGTATATTCCAGATCTGGAGAATTGTGGCTGGAAGAGGAAATAGAATTTGATGTTTTCCTTTTCTGAAATATTCTGGATATATTAGATATACAGTATTGGACTTACTACCATTACCAAGCAGAATGGGACTTTAGGCATGGACCCTTGGCCGCACCTGTTTCATCAGCCCATTCACAGCCAGCTTTCCTCTCTGTTGGCCGTCATCCGGGAATTCTCCACAACCAATGGGCCCCTGGCCCTCCACTCCTGGCCCTTCAGCCTGCACATTTGCCTAGACACTGTTTGAACTGGCCCTTTGGCTGCATGGAACAGATAGCTGCCAGCCAATGGCAGGCCGAAATAGTGCTGTGGGGGCAGTGTGCGATAGGTGATTGCAGGGGCTATGGGGAGGGGGTGCTGTGGCTGCTCCGCAAGTTTTTCTTAAAGGGGAAGGTGCCAAAAATGGCAAAACTGCTGCCCAAAAGGGGGCCGGCCGGCCAACGGTGCCTGAGCAAGGCTTCTGGCATTGCCGGGGGGGGGGGGGGGGGAAANAAAAGTCATTGAGTGAGGCTTCTGGCATTGCGACCGGGGGGGGGAGGTCACAGCTCCTCCAAGCCCCCTGCAATCGCCCATCACCCATCACATGCTGCCCCACAGCACCATTGCTTCTGCCTGACACCCGATTGTCTGGTGGCTATTTGTCTTGTGCAACCAAAGGGCTAGGTGAAATGGCTGTCTTGGTGAATGGGCCTGGCTGAAGGGCAAGGGGTGGAGAGCCAGAGGCCCATTGGCCATGAAGAATGGCCAGGGGACGGCCAGCGGAGGAGGAATGTTGGCTATTAATGGGCTGAGGCAGGTGGCTGGAAGTGAAGGAGGCGAGACCAAGGATGGTATCCTAAAGGTCCTAGACCCTTGCCAGGGGACTTTAGTTAGTAGGGGTTGTAGACAAATGTCCATGAAGGAGGTATTTGAAATCTCAACACAATTGTTATTTTTTCTGTTGATATTTTTCACTTCTGACACTCTGGATACTTTTGCCTACGTGTCTCCAGATTGTCTTGGTAGGGATATTTTCCTATTAGACAACTCATCTCCATGCATTATTAAGAAAATTTAAGTTATGAAACAGGAACAGACTCATGTATCTCCTGTTTCAATGGCTATAATAATAAGAGTCCATATTAAAAAGGAGGACCATTAGTCACAAATTCTTGCTGAGGTGCACAGTAAGAAATACTTGAACTACATTAAGGTCCTTTTGCTAATGAGTGACAAGCAAAAGTACAAACAGAATTGTTGCCACATAAACCATTTGTTTCTTTTTTCCCCTTAGGTTTGGGTCTTGTATTTGAAATTTTGATAAACTATTTTGCTAAATCTATAAAGCAAATATAAGCAAATAAATTATTATATAAACGTATATCAAACAAACTCATTTGCATAAATCATTTAACTTGCATACCATTAATACATTTGTATTTTATTCACGTGCATTCAGAAGTCAATCCTGTAAAATTCACTGCTACTTACCTTCAGGCACATGATGCATGAAGGTAAGTAGCTGTTATTTTTTTCATTACAGCTAAAGATGTTTAATGTGCAGGAAGGTAGACAGAACATTTTGAATTAGTGTCAGAATAATGAAATTCCAGTTTTGTTCTTTAGAAATGGCAGAATTTGTTTGTCCTTGTTTAGAACTTTCCACTTATCCTTCAGTTGCATTTTATTACAGTAATAGATGACATTTTCATCCCAAGCAAACTGGGACAATCTTTCATTAACCCATAGCTTTAACCCTCAGTATGCTTATTCAGAAAAAAGGCCAGTTATGTTCATTGGTATTTATTTACAAATAAACCCTTTGGTCATTGAAGTTGCTGGTTGTACTCTTTTTAAGGAAGAAAAACAACAACAACAGCTCAATTTCTAGGACATTAATACACTCCGTGCTCTGTTCAGACATATAAAATTCTCCAAAAGTCATTTCACTTAGTGTTGTAATCTCTATTTGACTGACAGTAAACAAAATAAACATTATTTCAGTAGGTGGTATGTGCAATAATCTATGATAACTATTAGAGATTATGACAAGTGTCCAGTTTGTGCATTATGTTGCTTTCATTATACATTTGCATTTCACCTAATCCCACAGATTTAGAAATGCAAAATTTGAGATAATGGATATGGGTATGGAAACAACTTGCCATAAACACCAACATCTCAAAGTAGAAGGCATTGGCAGCCTTGGATCACCACTCCTGCAGACAAGGTAGAAGACCTTTTATTAGGACTTGTGCACTGTTCTTTTCTTGCTATTTTATCTAAGACAAATTACGTAAAGATGTGAATCAGTGTTTCTCAAATTTGGCAACTTTAAGATAGTGTGAATTTCCATTCTCAGAGTTCCCTAGCCAGTATGAGCTGCCAAGTATGAGAAACACTGAAGTAAATGGAGGACAAAGAGGCCTCCACTGGAATAGTAAAGTATTCTTGTATTCATCTCTTGATCCAGGGGTCGGTCCTCTCTCCGCTTCTGTTCAATATTTATGTGAAGCCGCTGGGGGAGATCATTCGTGGCTTTGGGGTGGATTTCCATCAGTACGCTGATGACACTCAGTTGTACATATCCACCCCGGGCCACCCCAATGATGCCCTTGACGTGATGACCCGGTGTCTGGAGGCCGTGAGGGTCTGGATGGGGAGGAACA